GTACAGGCTAAAGGACCAAGGACGACTTTTGAGCTATGATCCCGGGTCATGGGCAGTAGGAGGTAGCAAGGCCACGTGAGGGCTGAAGGGGTAAGGAATGGCCAACGAGGCAGAAGGAACCATCCCAAGAGGCCATGCAGTGTGGAGTGCAGGACACCTTGGAAAGAGGGCCAGGAGGTAAGCCTGGAAAAACCAGGGGAGAAAAAACATGAAAGACCACATGCATTATGCTAGGAGTTCGGTCTTATTCTGAAAGGGATGAGGTGCCCTTCAAGCCTTGTGAGTTGTGGAGCAACGTGATCAGCTCGTGTCTGAGAAGGCCCCTCTGACAGAAATGAGAGAATGCCCTACAGGCGGGTGAAGCTGGTCATAAAGAAGTGAGTTAATTGCAGAATTAAGAATTTATGTATGTCAAAAAGCACCGTAAACAAAATTTGAAAGCAGAGCACTTGGAAAGCATATTTGCAGCATTTCTTGACAAAAATAACATTCTTAATAAAGTTACAAGTTGATAATAAACACACCCATATCACATAAATAGAAAATTCACGAAGCAAGAAGTACACATGGTCAACAAGCACACGAAAATGTTATTCACTAATAACCAAAGAAAGTTAAAATAGCGAGTTAAAATAACATTGACAGACTGTGATTTTGACCATCAAGTTGGCAAAGACTTGATAAGTGAGAATGCCCAGTGTCTGTCAGGGTGCAGGAAGCAAGGACCCCCAGGGCTCCACACTGGTGAGGGTCTTGGTACAAACTTCCTGGAGGGCAGCTGGCAACCTGTATCAAAATTCTTAAAAATAGCCAAGCAAGTCTCTTCTTGGCTTTGATCCTAAGGAAATAGTCATAGACATGTGCAAAATTTAGCTACAAGAATGTCTGCTGCAACATTATTTACAATAAAGATTGGGAAGAAGTGAAATAATCCCTCTCTGGGGATTGATTACAAAATGAGGGTCCCTCCATGTGAGGAAGATACTGTCAGGGAAGTTTGAGAGATGTGCAGAAAATGCTCACGGTGTATTGAGGAACAGAAGGGGCAAAAAAAAGAAAAAAAGCATCCAATATGCCACCTCTTGTGTGTGATAAAAGGATATACACACACGTGTTTGAGAACGCGTAAGCATCTCCAGAAGGATGTACAGGAGATTGGAGGGAAACTGAATGCTGGCAGTCAGGGGAAAGGAACTGACTTATCACCATGGAAGCACTGTATACTTTCTGGATTTTGGATCTATGTATGTATTACATATTTTAAGTTTGTTTTTTTTTTTTTTGAGTTGGGGTCTCACTCTGTTGCCCAGACTAGAGTGCAGGGGCACAATCACAGCCACCACAGCCTCAACCTGCTGGGCTCAGGCAATCCTTCCGAGTAGCTGAGACTACTCGGTCGTGTGTCACCACACCTGGCTACTTTTTACATTTTTTTTGTAGAGACGAGGTTGCACTATGTTGCCCAGGCTGGTCTCTAACTCCTGGGCTCAAGTGATCCTGCAGCCTCAGCTTCCCAAAGTGCTGGGATTACAGGTGTGAGCCACCGGACCAAGTCATATTTAAAAAATATAAATATATATTTGAAAAGTAAGTTGTTAAAGAGTATATACAATGCCATCCAGATTTTGTTTATAAAAAAAAATACAGCTGTGCAAGTGCACATGTATATTAATACCAAAAAGAACTGGAAGGTATAATCTAAAGGGTAAACATGTTTGTCTTGGGTGGTGGGATTTTGGATTAGATTATGTTCTTTTTAAACATTTTTTTTCTAAAATTGTCTACATTATACTTGTGACACTTTTATAATTAGACAAAAAGTGTCTAATTTTCCCCCGAAGAGCCTATCACAAAAGTCCAGGCAGAAGATGATAATGTAGGTAGCACTCCCGCTATGCAATTCAGCAGTGACATCCACAAAGTGTATATGTGAGTCACAGGGCTTGTTTTGGGAAGGGGCGATGAGAGGGAAGTGTAAGATCTAGAAAGGCAAGTGGGCCTGATTTTGCTTAATAGCTCTCAGAAGTCTCTGCTGGACACACAGAAATGCATCCCTGCCACCCCAGGCATCCGCCAGTGCTCAGTGCTTTTTTCTCTGGGATCACTTAACTTCAGGTCACAGTGAAGGAAGTTCTAACAAGCATGCGTGTCTAAGTCACCAAACAAGCAGGTGGCCCGTGCACGTGTTCCAGGAGGTTCTGAGAGGCTGTTCTCACCTGGTTCTGGTTTTCAACCTTCCTCCTTGGGATGGCAACAATCCTAACCTCAACCCTCCAGCCCTGTCCCAGCACACACATCTAAGCAACACCTCCCTCCTGCCTCCATGCTGATCCTGAGTCCTGCCTGATGTGTGAGAACCACAGGAAACCCCTGCCAGCTTGAACTGGTTCTGTAGGCCCCTCTGACCTCATCTTCTAAGATAAGAAGCTCTGTGGGTCACCTATGACCTCATCACCAGCCTCAGATTTTTTTTTTTTTTGAGTTGGGATCTTACTCTGTTGTCCAGACTGGAGTGCAGTGGCATGGTCATGGCTCAGGCAATCCTTTCACCTCAGCCTCCCAAGTAGCTGGGACTACAGGCACAGGCCACCACACCCAGCTGATTCTTTTATTTTTTGTAACACGAGGTCTTGCCATGTTGCAAGACCTCAAACTCCTGGCCTCAAGCAATCTGCCCACCGCAGCCTCCCAAAATGCCAAGGGTTACAAGTGTGAGCCATTGTGCACAGCCAGCATTCAGATCCTAACAGTTTGCAACTCACAAACTTGCTGAGCTGGAGGCTTGGGAATACGAGGGTCTGCCCATGTTCGGCTTCTGGAAGCCCTGGGTTAGGGTCCTGTGAAACCATTGGGAAGGAATAGGGCAGAGAGAAGTCGAGGGTAGGGATGGGGGGAATGTGGCAGCTGTCTTCCCTTCCTGTTCCCCAGAGGGTGAGCTATAGGTGAGTGACTGCAGCCCCCTGGATATTCCTAGAACCTTCCTGCAGCCCCCATTGACCGCCTTGGGGAGGCCTGTGAATATAACCTGTGCTGCTGCTGGTTCTGGGTCCTCGGCTGGGACTGAATCCTGCCGGGGTGCAGCCTCCTCATAAGCAACCCGCATTTAGGTGTGTTTTCTTCAGTCTCCACCTGGAACTGTGACCCTTCTGCAGTGCTGGGGCTGGGGAGAGGATGCCAGGCAAGTTGTTCGGATATGGACTGCCTCCTTCAGTAATACACAGAGTAACTGCTGGGTCTTAGCTGACTTTTCCTGGCTTGTTGCTGCTCTGACCATTAGGGATTCGGCCTGTAGTCTTTTTTGGCCTTGGGTAGATAGAAAGGGAGGCCCACACATCTCACTGACTGGGTGGATGTGATTCAGGTTAATGCATATTGTCCCATTTTCGATGACTCTAAGTGCCCAATGTAATAGGTATGGAGAGGCAACCAGGTGGAGAGTAATTGCCAGCTAGCGCTCTGGAGTCAGACAGACCTGGCTCAAATCTGGCCATGTCACTCACAGCCATGAAGCCTCAGGATGACACACCAGTTCTGGCTTTCTGATTTCTCACCCATGAAATGGGAACAGTATCTCATGGGGTAACTTCATGAAAGAAATGAGATTGTACATGTAAAGATCTTAAGACAGTGCATTTAATAAATCCTAACTATTAACATTATTGCATCTGTATATAATTTTAATTTTGTACAATATTGTCTTTTCCACTAATCACACGAAAAAATACATGAAAGTGCTCTGGAAATTTTAAAGCATCATATAAATTAAAGGTGTCATTGGTAACCATCTCCTGTGCATGTCTCAGCTCTTCCGTCTCCCAGAAGACTGGGAATCTGTCCACGTCCCGTTGTCTATTGCACAATGACGGGCAAACAGTATGCCCTCGGTGAATGTGTCTCATTTGACAGAAGCAACGCGGCACAGCACGTAGGGCACAGACACCAGGAGACGAGGCTGTGATGAAATTCTTTAAGGCAGGAGAGCCAGTCTGCGGTCATCATGTATTCATTCAACAGATATGTGTTGAATACATTTTATGTGCTAGATATTAGTTCAGATAATTTCATCAAAAACAGAGTGAACAGGTTCCCACAAAGTTCACGACCCTGGCCCACTCATGAAAGCACAAAGGTTTCAGCCCACACTGCATACCAAGGGACAATCAGGTAAGTGCAGGGGCTGGGGGAAGTCCCACCCTGCTCGAGCTGAGGGTGGGGAGGGAGCAGGCACAGCCAGCAGATACCAGGGTAGCCCCTGTGAATCTCTCTGTATTTACACTCAGTGCGCTCCAAGTCCCTGGCTCAATCCCCACTGCACGGGCCATACTCCTCCCTCCCTGACCACCTGCATGCTCTGCCCAGCCCCAAGTCTTGGCCCAAGTCACCCTACCCTTCTGTGTCACAACTGCCTGCGGGTGGGAGTGGAGGGGCAATGAGTGTGGTCAGAGGACACAGGAGTGGGCTTTAGTGGCATGTGAACCCTGGCAGAGTCTTGGGCCCCCGGGGGAGAGCAGAGAAAGCATAAGCCAAGACAGCAAGTTGGGGGATGGGGAAGCAGGGACCAGGGTGCTGGGGATGGGGCTCCAGCGTACAAATTCACAGTCTCCAAGTTGGTGCAACCATTGCTGCTGGCATCTGCCTTGACCCTGGGTGTGTGACAGTCACCTGGAGATGCTCGGGTCTGTGGGGTGGGCATGGAGGGGCTGGACCGCACCCGCAACCGTCAGGGCAATGCACCTGCCAGGCTCTGGTGCTGTCCGAAGCACCAACCAACGTCACAACCACTGTGGCCTCCCCAGTCACAAGGCTCCCAGTCACAAGCCTCCCCTCAGCCGCGGGCCTGCCCAAGAAGAGGACATCACCATCTGTGCGACCCACCAGCTTCCAAACTCGCATTCTCTCTGTTTTGCGCTGAAAGTAGAGCGTGGGGGCACAACAGGAGGGATAAGGGGGGACGGAAGGAACGGAGAGGAAAGGACAGAACCCAGGAAGGGGCTCCCTACCTGGGGTACCGGGGCCCCCGGCCGAGTGGTGCAGCCCTGCAGAGGCCCCGTGTCACATGGCATCCTTGTCCCGCTGGGAGCATCTGCTGAGCTTCATCTCCGTCAGCTGGATGTACCGGATTACGTTGGTGTCTGGGGAGAGAGACACGCTCAGGGGCCTGGTGAGGGCCCCGGCAGGGACACAGAGGGGCTCCACGGAGCCAGGCATGGATGGTTGGCAGGTGGCGGACAGGACAGGCCCATCTGCCACGTCCCTCTGCCACCATCCACCTTGTCCTTCTGCCTGTTGGGTAGCAGGGAGGATGCCTAGATATCGCCTTCTCCTTCATGACCTTCCCTCAGCACAGGTGGAGAGGTTGCCACAACCCAGAGGACAGAGGAAAGGAGGGGACAGAGAATTGCTCGCTTTCCTTCTTTCTAGGCAGCAGCAGATCACAGGGGCTTCCAAGTCAACACAGTTGGATGAGACCTTGCTTGGAGTTTAACCTCAGGCAAGAGACTGACCCCTCTGTCTCCTGTCCCATCTGCAAGAGACGACTTCTGTTTTTGAACCCTACTTTGTGCCAGAATTTTAACCTTCATGATCTCATTTAATTGCCACTGCAATCCTGCAAGGCATGACTCATCCTCCTCCCTGTGACAAAAGGGAAGACTGGAACCTGGAGAGACTAGGGAAGCTGCCCAAGGAGACTCAGAGCAAATGTGTGTCTGGCTCCAGAGCTGGTCTCTCCAGGGACCACAGCAGTTGTCTCATGTACTTGCTGTGAAGACCAACACAGATATACCAAAATGCACTTCAGACAGTGCTCAGTGCATGTTGGCTGAATGTGATGGTTTAAACTTGAAAAGTTTTAAATGACTTGGCTTCCTTGTCTTAATTTTGTTCTTATAAGTGGGGTCAGACAACCACCTCACCAAGACGTGGGGTGTTTCCTCCACTCCCTGTCTCCAATTGAGTGAGGGGGCATGACACAGAACAACTGCTTAGTTCTGCACCTGCCAGAACACAAGAGTTTCCGGGCTGCTGGGGACAGTCCTTCCTGAAGTAGAAATGAAAGCTGTATCATGTTCAAAAATACCAGGCATAGCCTTCAGAACAGTGCTGGCATACAGCAAGTGCTCCAGAAATTTCTGCTGAATGAGTCTCGCTCTTAGTTTTCAAGCTGCTGACAGTATAGTTGGTCAGACACAATTTATATACACTGAAAACAACCCACAAGACATACAAATAGATGAGTGTACCTAAAAAAGACCGGATTTAAAAGGAACAGGAGCATTGGCTCATGCCTGTAATCCCAGCACTTTGGGAGGCCAAGGAGGGAGGATTGCTTGAGTACAGGAATTCAAGACCAGCCTGAGCAACATAGCAAGACCCTGTCTCTAAAAAAAAAAAAAAAAATTAGCTGGAGGTGGTGGCATGTGTCTGTAGTCCCAGATACTCGGGAAGCTGAGGCAGGAGGATCACCTGAGCCCAAGTCGAGGCTGCAGTGAGTGTGATTGAACCATTGCACTCCAGCCTGGGTGCCAGAGTGAGATCCTGACTCAAAAAGAAAAAAAAGAATTAAAAAGTATGCACTTGTACACTTTCAAATGGACCCTAAAGTTTGTAAAGACTTCTTGGAAGGGAAAAAAAAGAATCATACGAACAAGGGCAACATCAAGTCAAAGTCATTGTTCAAATCCTCAGAGAGGCTCTGTCTGACCACCCTTTAACTCCCGATCCCTCTATACTGCTTTGTTTCCTTCATGGTATAACCACGGTTAAGCGTCACATCCCTCCGCTGTCCATCTGCCTATGTACTGGTGGTTTCCAGGTACCCCCAGTGGGGAGCCCCTCCTTGGCTCCTGTCCTCTCCTCCCCACTTATATTATAATGGACAGTAAGCCATGATAATATCAGCTTTTTGAAGGCAGTAATTTCCTTTTATTTTTTAAGAGATGGGATCTCAATCTATGGCCCAGGCTGGAGTGCAGTGGCGTGATCCTAGTTCACCACATCCTCGAACTCCTGGGCTCAGGCGATCCTCCTGTCTCAGGCTTCTGAGTAGCTGGTACTATAGGTGTAAGCCACCACCCCAGCTGATTTATTTATTTTGTTTGTTTGTTTATTTATTTTTGAGTTGAGTCTCATTCTGTTGCCCAGGCTGGAGTACAGTCGCAGTGATCGTGGCTACCACAGCCTTGACCTTCTGGGCTCAGACAATACTTTCACCTCAGTCTCCCAAGTAGCAGGAACCACAGGTGCACACCACCATGCCTGACTAATTTTTTAAATTATTTATTTAATATAGAGACAAGGTCTTGCCAAGTTGCCCAGGTTGATCTTGAACCCCTGTCCTTGGCAATCTTCTCCCCTCTGCCTCCCAAACTGCCGGGATTACAGACATAAGTCACCACACTCAGCTTTTTTTTAAAGAGATAGAGTCATGCTTTGCTGCTTAGGCTGGGGTAGCAACTTTCTTTCATTTGCTACTATGCACCAGTACCATTGTACCCCTCCATACATCTCTGTGGAATGCGTGGGTGGGTGATGAGTGAGCACAGGATGTAAATTAAGGGAAGGGGACAGAGCACACTCGATCCAAGGGACAGGAGCTGAGTGGAAAAGCTGGAGCTTCCCGAGAGGTGCCAGGTGTGGCCAGAACCACCTGCTTCTCTCTGTCTCGCCAGCCAGTTGTGGGCTCTTCTCATTGGCACCCCCGATGGTGGTACGAGTCTTGGCACGTGATAAGAATTCAATGTGAGTTTACTGGATACTGGAGAGAGCTAGGTTCTGAGCGGGAGGGATGGAACTCCATACTATTCAGAGAGAGGAGTGCCCAGGCTCCCCAGCCCAGGCCCCAGGCAAAGGCAGGACCGGGGCTCTTCTTGACCCCCAGGTCCCATCACGCACCTGACTGCCAGGTCCGTCGCACATCTGGTTCCCAAGTCCTACCATGCACCCGACCCTAGTCCCATCACCCCAGAGGTCCCGTCACACACCAGCCCCTGGTGGACCCTCTGTTCAGCCCGGCCCTGCAGCTGTGGCACCATCTCCCGCCCTGAGAAGGCCCCTCACTGCCAGGGGATGGCAAGGTGACAGTGGCCTCCCCTACCTGTGGGCTGCCGAGTCCGGGCCTCCTTTAGGTACTGCAGGGCCTTCTCGTAGTCCCCCAGGTGGTAGAAGGCCACCCCTGAGCGGTAGAGCGCCTTGAAGTTCTCGCCTTCCTTCTTGAGGACCTTGAGGCAATATTCCTTGACACGCTCGTAGTTCACCAGCTCAGCCTGGAGCAGGCAGGCTGCAGCGGAAGACAGGGACACACCACTGACATGACAGCACCACCCTGCACATCCTCCATGGCGCCTTCTCCCCAGAGGTGGACAGGGATAGGGCTTCCAGGGGTTCTACGACAGGGGGGTCGTCTTCTAACTCTCCTGGGCTCTGGGACGGGTTTTGTCACTGACAAGTTGGAGCCTTGAGCAGTCAGTCACTCAGCCTGGTGTTATGGGTTGAAGTTCTCACCCCCAGGGTCTTCACGAAGGTGATCCAGTTAAGATGAAGTCGTGAGTGCAGGCCCTGACTCAGCATGGCTGGTGTCTTTATGAGAAGGGGAAACGGACAGAGACACACATGGGAGAAGGCAGCTGTCGACAACCCAGGAATACCAGGGACACCAGAAGCCAGTAGAGGGGCAAGGAGCAGGGTCTCCCACGCAGCCCCGGGAAGGGGCAGCCCACCGACACCCAGCCTTGGAACCCTGGTTTCCACAACTGTAAGGCTCCATTTCTGTTACTTTGAGCTACTCACTTTGTGGACCTCCGTTACGGCAGCCCTAGGAATAAACTACCAGAGGGAGTGGCATGATCACCATGATCGTCACCATCGTGGTCAGTGTGCTGAGTGCTTACCTTGTGCCAGACCTGGTCTGTTTCACATGTATTTCCTGATGTCACCCTCAGAAAATTAACATGTGGACACTACTGTTTTATTCTCATTTCACAGGCAAAGAAGCTGAGGCCCAGAGAGCTTAAGAAATTTCCCAGGGTCACACAAGAGACAAGGGTGGGATTGAAACAGAAGCAGTCTGGCTCCAGAGTCCGAGTTCTTTCTTATCGAGTTGTTGTGGGAGGATTCTATAAAACTATAGCCATAAAGCACTCAACACAGGCTTGCCACATAACAAGCACTCAGAATACGTTAGTTGACATCACTACCATGCTCTCCAGCCTCGTGCCAGTGATGTCTGCTTGAACTCCCCTTGAGTTCCCCTTCCTACATGTCTGTCTCTGCAGTTCCTGAGAAGAGGAATCTTCCGATGGGCCAGTGACCAGCTCACATGGGGCACACCTCTGGACATGAGCGACCCAAGATCCCCCAAGAGGAAACCAAGGCAGATGCCCATGGCTGGGACCCCACCCCAACCCACAAACACCCATTTCTGAGTCAGCTATCTTCCCCGGATGCTTTTCTCGCCAGCTCCAAGCAGCCAGGGGTAAGACCAGGATAAGGGAGTCCCTGGAGGGGGCCTGGATGACCTTGGAGAGTGACTGAAATGCTGTGTCCTGGCATCCCACAAAGTCACCTCCATTCCACCACACGGATACTCAGGAAGCACTGGCTGGGGGCAAAGCGGGGTGCTCAACATCAGGGGGATTTCAAAGAAAGGGGAATAAGACATTTGAGCACTTCTTCAAAGTGAAAACAGATCGGGAAGCAAACCTGAGGCTCCGCCCTGTCTTTGTGCTCAGACTCCCCACACGGGGAGAGACGTGTACTCGGGATGGAGCCCAGCCACTGATGGTCATCTCAAGGGGTCCAATTGCCTTAAATAACTTCCTGGGTATCGATCGAAATTGCTCATTAAGAGACTGGACTTTTCACTGTACATTTTGGACCCAAAAAGCTTATCCTTCTGCAGACTGAGGAGGATCACGGAGGCTCTCTGGGGAAGGAATGAGGCCCAGGAAGTGAGAGAGAATCAGCCCAGATCCAGACACTGATCTGTGTGGCTACACAATTGCAGACCAGGAAGCCACAGCAGAGGCCACAGGCTGCTGCTCTCAGACACAGGAAGCCGAGCCTCACCAAGAACTGCAATCTGTTGGTTCTTCCCCTATGAGATCCTTCCCTTTCCTTCCTCTGCCGCCCCCCTACCATGCTGCTGGAGCTTGCCTGGTGCTCCTGTAGCTCTGCAGGCAGGAAGGTGTCTTAAGGAGCCTCCTGGCTGAGAAGCTCACTGGCCACCACCTGGGTGGGCCTGGGCTCCTGCCTCTGCTCCCAGAACTAAGGGCTTTTCCACCGGTGCCGTCACACACCCACCTGATGGCCTCTTTGACTGCCCTGCCCTTGGTCCATCCAGCCCTCCCTCTTCCAACAGACGCTTCTGTTTGCTGCCCCTGGTCATCTAGGGAACAGATCTTTGTTGCTTTTAAAAAGTTATTCCATGCCTAAGATGGGGGTGGGGTGGGGTGGGGTGGAGGGCGGGGTAGGATGGGGCAGAGCAAAGAAGCCTGGAAATGGAAAAGCCTCTCCTCCCCCGCAGCCTCCAAAGGGTTAAAGTAACAGAGCCATAGCTTTCTGAGACTTATTTGGCGAAAATGTGTCTCATTCCCCTGCAGGTCCTGTGGCAACTGGGATACCTGGCTGGGGACCTGGCGGGGGAGGATGGGATGTGGCGCCTCTGCAGGCCCCAGAGGTAGGGCTGGGGAAGATGGGGCTCTGGGCCAGGGCTCTGAAAAAGACTGTGGTAGAGAGTGAGGCATTCTGGAGGCACCCTTGGCCCTGCCTGCAAGTGTTTTTGAGTCGGAGTCTCACTCTGTTGCCCAGGCTGCAGCGCAGTGGCACCATCATGGTTCACTGCAGCCTTGACCTCCTGGGCTCAGGAGAGCCCCCTGTCTTAGCCTCCCGAGTAGCTGCGACTTCAGATGCGTACCACCACACTCAGCTAATTTCTTGATTTGTTTGTAGAGATGAAATCTCGCCGTGTTGTCCAGGCTGGTCTCGGACTCCTGGGTTCAAGAAATCCACCCACCTTGGCCTCCCAAAGTGCTGGAATTATAGGCATGAGCTGCCACACCCAGCTCTACCTGCAGGTGGCTTTTAGGTACCTCTCCCCTTTGGGTGGGGGGTCCTGGCACATCGAACAAACCTGTGGGCTAGAAGTAGGTGAGAAGCTCGCAAGCACAGTGGAGTGTTAGGAAGGTTGATGGGCTGCATCCTGACTGCTCCTTCCCTGTCCCCAGGACCACTGGCCAGGGCCTGGGGGTGGCTACGACCCTCAGAATAAGTGGCATCGTCCCACATGTCCTCCTGTGGTTCTTGACCCTTGCCCTGTGTTAGAGCTGTGCTTGCACTTCACAAGCCTTTAATCCTCACAATTCTAGGAAGCAGGTTCTATTTTTACCCTCTTTTCATAGATGATGAAATCCAGCTCCAGAGGACTGCAGGAAGGAGCTGAAGGTCACCGGTTGGAAGGGGATGAAGTGGGGTACCAGCCTGCTTCTGCAGGCTCCCTAGATAGCACCTTGAGCTTGGGGCCTCTGTGGCCTGTATGGGGAGCCCTCGGAGACCCATACACCCTGAAGAGGGAGGCAGATCTCTGGCAAGACTCCTGCCCTCGTGTTCCCAGGCGGACGCAGCAAAGCCTGGGGCCTCCTGAGTAGGGAGCAGGTGGGTGATGGGTAGTACCCCTCCTGGGGTGACGGACAGATGCCACCTCATCTCAGTATTCATGAGGGGGCCAGGCACCGTGAGGAAGGGCAGGGTGGGAGCACAGGAGGTGACCCGAAGTGCTGTGGAGGCCCTCCTGGAAGAAGTGGCACTTCCGCTGGGATCTGGAGATTGAGTGTTTTTCAGCCTCAGCACTATTCACATTCGGGTTGGATGATGTTTGGTTACAGGAGGATGCCTTGTGCCTTGCAGGATTGAGTTCAGCAGCTTTTCTGGCCTCTCTCTCTTCACAATGTGCCTGTCGTGACAACCAAAAGATGTCTCCAGGCATTGTCGAGTATCCCCATGTTTATGTACCACTGATTCAAGTGAAATGGAGAAAAAGTTTTCTAAGCGGAGCTGGGGGCGGGGTGGGGGTGAGATAAAGAGAAAAGAGAGAAAGAGATAGAGAAATAGAAAGCGAAATAGAGAGATGGAGACAGAGAGAAATAAACAGAGTCACATCTAGAAGCTCTTTCAAGAGCAACATCATGAACCCTCTGGCCTCCGGGTGTTCTGAAAAGTCCAAATAAGCACGGTGGGCACATCCACCAAGCCATGGAGCAGGAAGATGGGCCTCCATCAGGCTTGGGAGGGAGTACAGGGATGGAAACAGCCTTTCCTGAGCTGAGCACAAGGACCACACAGCTTACAAGAGGCAGGTGATCCAGGGGGACAAAGATTGGGGTGGCAAATCTTTCCCCTTTGCAGATTCCTCCCCCACTGCCACCCCTGGGTGGGTGGGCTATGATTCTATGGAAAAAGGAGCTGGCAGGCTTTCTTGGCTCCACCGAGGGTTCTGTGGTAACATCCAGAGCCCCATGGCACACTCAGGCGCAGGCAGAGAACAACCCAAGCCTCATGTGCCCAAGCCCCACACTGAGGCCTTGGGTTCTCCCAGATCTGGCACCTATCCTGTTTTTGTGTTTCCTGGTGTGTGCAGGGCACAATGCCACCCACTGGCATGAGATGAAGGAAACCTGGAAGAGAGGAAGAACAAGTTGGTGAAGTCGTCGGCTTACCGCTGACTCACCACGCTTGCTTTTATCTTCTGAGCAGAAGGAAAGTCCGGGGTAGAGGAGAAGGGGTAGGGGCTGAAGTCCTAACCTCGATACCCAAGAAGGTGAGGTTATCTGGAGACAGAGTCTTCACAGAGGTGCTTGGATTAATGAGGTCATTAGGATGGGTCCTAATCTAATATGAACACAGAGACAGACGCACACAGAAGGAAGATGTTGTGACCAGACACAAGAGAAGCCCGCTGTCAATAACCAGGGAACACTGGGGCCAACAGTAGTCAACAGAGAGGTGGGGAGCAGATTCTCCCATACGGCCCTCTGAAGGGGCAGCCCTGCCAACACCTTGGCCTTGGACTTCTGGCCTCCAGAGTAATACACACTTCTGTAATTTTGAACCACACAGGTAGTGGCAAATTATTACCACAGTCCTTGCAAGGTGGCCCCAGGAAGGGACTATTGCATTACTGGGGGAGTATTCTTCCAAGAGTTTGCCACATGATTTGATTTGCTTTCAGATTTATTTCAAGGAGGAATGGCACAGCCATAAAGTGGAGGGAGCGTAGGATTTGGG